TATATATATATTGAAAATAGGCAATGAAAACACAGTATAATTTGTCCCGTCTTAACACGTTATTGTGGGCAGAACCACGGCCACACCCTCATTTCTCCTCTCCAATTCATAATATACATCTCTCCAAATACTAAAAAAGAAAAATATAAGCAACAAAAGCAATTTTAAAAAGAATAAAGATTCCCTAGTTCACAATTCATATACACATTAATTACACAAAATTTTAACAATTTATTTCTCCATTACAAATGGTTGATATTTATTAAGATTTTGAAATAAAAAAATAATTATCTTGAAAAAAAATATAAATAAAAATAAATAATTCAATCATGAATAATAAAGAGATTAGTGATTAAGATTTTATATACTTCTTCTATATGAATTTAATTGTCCCACTTAATCCATTTACGATTGTGAAAAAAATTCATTTATTACAATAATTAAAACTTATCTTTTCATTTTTACCTTTACTTATAATTAAGCGAAAAAAGACTAATGTATTTCTATTTCTTTTGAGATAATGGTAAAATGAAAATATTAGTATTAATATGTTACTAAAATGAAATGTGAGGCAACTAAATTAAACAACTTCTATTTAGAAAGTGGATAACTAAATCTAATAACAAGGAATAACTTATATGTATAAAAATAGTAGGTAAATAAATCCTAATTCTTTCCAAAATGTTAAGTTTAATACTTTTTTTTTTTTTTGGTTGCAATAAAAATATCCTTGGGTTAGTATTTACACACCTAAAAACTAGTCTGTTCATAAAAATTTTGCATGCCCACATTTTTCTATATTCAAGGAAATTAATTTAGTTGGATGCTTGCTCTGAGACTTGGACTCTAAATATAATATATAAAACGACACTTATTAATTATTTAATAATAAATCTAATACTTAGAGTTACATTTTTATATTTTTTGTAATGCAATTTAGTGATAATTTTCTCTTTTGATAGATAAGAAGTTTTAAATTTATAGACATAAGAATATAGTGAGTAAAAAATTTTAAAAAAAATTGCCTCACATTGAGACAGAAAATAAAATTTTGAAAAAGAAATATATCAAACACACCAATTTCATAATAGATATATAGTAGCATTAGTATATTTGTTACTCTAGTAAATTGGTCTATTATCAAATACCAAGCAATACCTATAAATACTTAACTAGAGCACACATCAACCTACCTAGAAGATCCAAGTCCATGAAACCAGAAGTAAAAGACGACTGAGGTTTCTCGTCTAAACAAGGCAACAATGATATTTAAAAGCTAAAGGCATATGACTCAAATATCATGTGCTCAAAAGCATAGCTGCTGCTGCATTTCCTAGCAGAAAGTTAACATTAGAACCACGACCCCCTTGGGTGTTATTTACATAGAGATCTTCAAAACAACGAAATTCCGATTGCAAAGGCCAAAGCCTCAAACTCTATTCAACCAAAAAGAAAAGTTATTTATATGGTTCTTAAAATCACAGGTTCTTTTAGCATCAGTAAGACCACTGAAAGTTGATGAGTTTTCATTAAATTTCAATAGCTAAATGTATTTGTATATACACGTTTCTCTTGCTTTGATTTTTCTAGTGGAAGCACGAACTAAAATTTCTATTAATGAACCATAACAGTGAAGATTGTTCAAGTTTTCATAAAATAAGTGGCAATCTCAAATATACGTTCACAATATTATAACAGAGGATTTCCAAGGATGGTATTATAAGGATAGAAGTGGCAAGAAGTGGCATAAGAGGCACATTGCTCAGTGCCTGCTCTCTTTTTGGAGGTAGGTTGTTGACTATACGAGGGAACTCAACACAAGACTCACCCATTCTGCAAAGAACGCTAAACGAATTTCTGAGTTTGCTGTAGCAATTGCAGTTCTTCTTGCAGCATTGATTTCTTTCTTTGGGAAAAAGGCATTGCTAAAAGATTCGGAAGTGCTACTGCTTTGGCTCCGCTGATTGGTGCCATGCGGCGCTGTTGCGACTGTTGAGATTGAATTGGAGCCGGTTGCAAACATAGGAGCTGATATCTTGGCTGAAGTTGGTGGTGTGACACGAGCTAGAGGTGGTGTGTAAGAAATAAATATGTTACATAGAATTGAAAATAATCCTCTAGCTCTGAAGTATATTACTACATGATAGGAATGACGTCCATAAGTTACAAACACTGCAGCCTTATTGCAAGCCGATATTTACACACACAGAAATGATCTACACATGAATGGTATGAGATAGCCAATGACATAAGAGAAGCTGTCCTGAAAGCATGATCTCTCTGACTTCACTTCCTCTCTCTGACTTTAGATGAGAGATAAAAGAAGTAAGAGAACAGATAAGATAAGGAGAATATTCCCACAGAAAGATGGCTAGGAAGAGAAGGTCCTTTCCCAAGTCAAGTAAGAGAATGATGGCAAGATCATATTGGGATTTGTTTCCCCTTTGCTTTGTCTAAGCCAAGCTTCACATTCAACACAAGAATTGGATGGACCCTTGTTTGGTCTTTTTTACATGGGAGTAGGATAACTCGACTGTAAGGAGAGGGGCAGTCGCTATCCTTTTCTGTGTAGCACGCGCCACACCAAGCTTATGAACAGTGCTTGTAATCATTAGATTGCCATTTTATAAAAACAGAGGGAAAAAGAAACACCCAATGAAAAAAGGCATAATTATCGTACATGGGATTGTCGCATGGGAGGGATTTGAAAAAGAGTGGGCTATTTCCTAAGTTATATAACCTATCTTTCGACGTACCAAAAACATGAACAGAAATGCAAACAATCCTCTAGCTTTGAAGTATATTACTACATGATAGGAATGACATCCATAAGTTAGAGATACTGCAGCCTTGTTGCATGCCAATATTTCCATGTCTCGTTCAATTTACACCCACAGAAATGATCGACGTATGCACAATTTCAGTATCTACTTTTGGGAGCTAGAAAATGTGTCAGAGGGAGAAGCGGAAGAAGTAGTAAAAAGGAGCTTTTAAGGAAGAACATCTCTCATCTTCCTTCCCCGATAATATCACTGAATCCAGTGATATTTAATGGAGAAGCCTCCAGCTATATCTCTGGATTAAGATTGTTATTGTTCTTGTTAATTATCATTGTGCTTAGATCCAGTAGATGGTGAGTTTTCAGCCCCGAAGCTGGCTGTCATGTCCTTAAAATCCCAGTCGGTTAAATAACTTGGTTTTGATGCAACAGGGCTCACTTCGATATCCCCAGCAAGCATAGCAACAACCCTTGACATGGGTGGTCGCATCATTGGTGATGCCTGGGTGCACAGGAGTGCTACCCTTATCATTCTTAAAGCTTCATTTTCATCAAACTCCACTAGGGTTGGATCCACCAGACCTAGACTTTGGTTGCTTTCATACAGAGTCCATGCCTAGAAATATTGTATAAGTAAATCTCATGCACAAGGAATGTATCTATAGAGAAGGAAAAAGGAAAAGAATTTCTCTCTTTACCCATTCAAGAAGATAGATCTTCTCATTATCCTGGCTGTTGTCAGAGTTTGGTCTTCCACTGACGATTTCCAAAGCAACAACACCAAAGCCAAAGACATCTGCCTTCTCAGTGAGGTGGCCCCGCATTGCATACTCTGGTGCCAAATAGCCACTGCCAATATTGCAATTAAGCAATTAACTTTGCATGTTCAAGGTTTATTGAGATGATTTCTTTATCCATGATACGAAGTCTCTGGATTCCACTGATGGTTTGATGCTATGAAACCCAATAACATTACAAGCTACAGTATAATGCAAATAACCATTTAGATACTCTTTGGATATAGTGAATTAGTGATTCAAGGAGCTTACATGGTTCCTGCAACACGGGTACTGATGTGAGTTTTCTTGTCATCATATAGCTTTGCCAATCCAAAGTCAGATATTTTCGGACACAGCCCAGCATCAAGCAAAATGTTACTTGCCTTCACGTCTCTGTGTACGATCCTCAGCCTTGATTCCTCATGAAGATAAGCTAGTCCCCTAGCAGTTGCCAGGCAGATACTGAAGCGGGTTGGCCAATCAAGATGCAAGTCTTTATTTCCTGCATATGTGAGGCAGGAAATGTTATGGAGAACAATTAATTTGGTTAAGAAATGAATCCAGATGCAGATATGTTTCATTTTCCTGCATAAATGCTAGAAGGGAGCAAATAACTTGTTCAGTCATACCAAAGAGTGCTTGGTCTAGACTTTTGTTCTCAAGGTACTCATAAACAAGGAGGCGTCTGTTTCCTTCGATGCAGCATCCATACAGTTTAACAAGGTTGCGATGTTGCACAGCAGATATGGTAGCAATCTCAGTAACAAATTGACTCTTCCCTTGGTGAGATGCTACTGAGAGCTGCTTAACAGCTACTACTCGCCCATCAGAAAGTTTACCCTATGATGTATTTAAAGTGCTTTGTTTAGTAACATTGTCAAATAAATCTTCTATCTCATTAAAAACAGACTTAAGATTTTAAGCCAATAGCTTACCTTGTATACAGGACCAAATCCCCCTTCTCCTAACTTATGTGAGGGACTGAAGTCATCAGTTGCAACTCTCAACTCGGCATAACTAAAGGTGTTTGGTCTGGGTCCTATTCCAAGAAGCTCTGCAAATTCAAGAGAAGTTGGAATAAAATCTAATGATGAAGTAGGAGATAATTATATAATGTTGAAATTTTACAAACAATGGTCCTAGGATTCAACATCTCGAGTTTAAAGGCTATGGGCCATTGTATAATTTCTATTTCCTTTTTTTGGTCGTTCTTTTCATATAATTAATCAGAAAATTGATGAGTAAATAAAAATAAGAGCAGAGCCCTTACCAGAAGCCTCAAAATATGTTATTTATGGGAGAACAAAACCAGAAATCAACAGCTCATAATATTCAAGTTTACTTCCTATATATAAAATTTGATCTTTTGAGCACTAGGAATATTGGTCCCATGTGAATGAATCGCCACAAGATAGAGCAGCAAAATTGTCAAAGAAGTTGAAAAAATGAATAAATCAGTTTCTTTCCATCAAGGGAGATCAATCCTCTTATCCAACCTTCCAAAAGTACTACTAGAATATCTCTTCCTTTAAAAATACGTTTGTCCACCCTTGTAACAAAGAAGAAAATAATTATGTCCTAAGATCAGTAAGAGCTTAACCTAGAACTTTGTTTGGGGAGCCTAGAACTACAATCAGCAGAATTGAGGCCAGATCCACCCAGATCCACCGTAGTATATTAACATGAATCAGTTTTACAAATAATATCATGACTAATTAACTACTACTACTGCACTTTTTAGGACTCTTACCTTCCTCATCATCATCTTTTCCCCTTCTCAAGTAGAAGGCTACAAATATCAATATCAAGGTTAAGGTGACAACTCCGACAGGAACTGAAACACCAACAATCATCCCAGTCCTATTCTCTTTTGTCGATGTGAAATCTGATCAACAGGTTTTAGGCATTAGTAGTGGCAAACAGAGGTAGGCATGACTTTAAGATTTCAAACAAAGATTCTTGTGTCATCTCATTTCTTACTTGATACCACATTGATTGCTGAAATGGATGATCCATAGTAACCATTTTCTGGTTCACAGCATGTTCCCTTACCAGCCCAGAATAGGTGAATTTCAAGATAGTTCTCTGTCACAGTAGCATTGAAAATCATTGTAATTGCTCTTTCAACCCCACCTGCTGCTTTTGATATGTCAAAATCCTTAAATGCGATGGTTCCCTAGGAACAGTTGATTATGATTAAAATCTGAAAATGTTAAACTTAAGTTTACAAATTTGTAATTTTAGAAACATTTATTACATTGAGGACTTGAATAAAATGATCCATAAATGCAATCTGGACAATGGTTTACAATTTTTATGGGAATTTTACCTGAATATAAATATCAAAAACTCTCCTTCCCAGACTCTTCCAAGTTTGTGTGCTTTGATCATCGAAAGCTGTTTCTGCAAAATGCAAGTTGACAGTATAAGGCCCATTCTCTAGGCCTAGGCCATAGTATCTGAGTGATCCAGGGGATATCCTCGAAGACTGATAAAGCTTTGGCGAGTTCGTGTATCTCACTTCTGCCAAGGTGTTTTGCACATAGGTTATATTCTTTCTGTCAGAAAACAAACCTACATTGCTAACTGCCCACTTCTCAGTACCAACTACATTAAATGATGCTGTGCCAAGAGAAGAGTTTTCAGCCTCATATTTTATGCCATCAGCAGTCATCTCCGGGCCACCACACTTGATTGAGAAGTTTGTATCTGCCAACATCAATATTTAAATATGCTTGGCAAGTTAGTCAGGAACAATAATTAAAATTTCAGCAACAGAAATTCATACCCAGCAGGATACTGAAGTCGTCATTTTATAACAGATTAAAAACAGCAAGTAAATTTTGACTCCTTTCAAGTTCTAGCAGGACAAACTTAATGTCCTTTTACAATTGCCATTGATGCATGCATATTTCAATTGGCCAAGCTCAGAATTACTGATACTAGGAAAGTTGAATTGAAAATTTGTCACTGAGAGTCTAAGAACACTCTAAAATACAATTGTCTAAGCCTTTTCCCTCTACTAGAAGTTTCTTTCTGTGATTACAGTGTAATGCCAAGTATAAGCTATCTCAAGGCAATGCAGCAGATAAAACAATGCCTAGGTAGGAATTAAACACTAGCAAAAGAAGCTTACAGTGTGGAGAGTTCTTGTTGCATGGGAAGCTTCTTTGAAGGCAATGCAATCCTGGTAAAAGACTAAAAATAAATAACATAGTGATTTGTTATTGCTGTTATATATTATAAAAGAACTTCCATTGTGGAAAAAATTGCACCCAATTTTCTTATTCCTTTAGATTAAGGTGGATGGAAGAGTAAAACTCAAGTAGATACTTAAGAACTACAACTCACCTTATGTTTGACTTGTCAAATGTGAAGTCATTGGCTACCAGATTCCTACATGATACGAAGCAACAACACAAATGAACATCTGTCATAGCAGTTGTAACAATCCAACATTCATGAATTTAAAGTGACAGATACTCTGTCTAGAAATGATATACAATACATAGGTGTGCAGTACATTACTATCGTGGTTCTCAATAATCAAAAAGACTTCCAGTGGACTTTTAGTTGAGTGTTGTAATTTAGGTCATCAGTGCAAGTTAGGAACCAAAATGAGAATAAAACTAGGTCACTGGCTCTGACAGGGATTTAATGGAGATGGTTGGGGTAGATCTTGAACTTTTTTCTTTCATTCATGTTGCATTAATAATATGACATCAATTAAAAGAAAAATAAGCTGAAGCTACATACAGTTGTATGTTTGTGTCCACCCATGAGGGAAAGCTTCCAGACAGAAAATTGTAAGATAAATCTCTGCATGAGAAAGTAGTTAAAAGAAAGTTAGCAGAAGTTATTGATTCAAATAAAGAGAATGCTCAGAATGTTATGGCTTACATATTCATTAGGTTTTCACTCTTTTGGCTGGGGATGGTACCAGCCAGACTATTATTTCCAAAAAACCTGGACATTGACAGAATATAACACATTCAATTTTTTTTTTTTCTTTTGATGGTTAATACCATCAGGTTATTGGCATTAGGTTGACCAGAAAAACTAAGATGAAATTGAAATAAAACAAGATTTTGAAGCATCTTCTATGACTTTACAAGTATGCAAGAGGACTTATGTTGAACAAAGCATTTGGAATTTGGCCTGTCAAGTTATTGAAACTCAAATCCCTGGTAAAGAAAAAGGAATTAAATTAATATGGGAAATTGAAGTTAATTTCATACACAACATGTTCATTAGGCAAAGAGTGAACATATCTTACAGTTTTTGTAAAGATTGGAGTTCTCCAATGTCAGATGGAATACCACCAGTAATTAGTGCATTTCTTAAAATTCTACAGGAAAATAAAGAACAAAGGAAAAGAGTAAAGTTTGTTAGTCAATTAACTAATAAAACAAACACGACAAATAGAAAAGAAGATACATGTTTCTATACATGATTAAAGAGATTTTACTTACAAGTCAGTTAAATTCTTTAAATTTCTAATAAAATCAAGAGAAGAGCTCACATTGGATAAACCATTGATTCGCCTACATGATAATATATAAGAATTGAAGAAGTTAGCCACTATAAATACTTTCAGAATCATGCATGCAGAGAGAGAGTAAATGGTAAGTGAATAATTACTTACAGAGAATTTAGAGAGGTTAATTTAGAAAAACTGGATGGTATGGGACCTTCAAAGGAGTTCCCTTCAAATCTCCTACAGAAATATTTTCCAGGCTAATCAAGAAAGAACAAACTAGATATATCTCACTGTTGAAGAAATGAAGCAAAACTAATTAAAAAAGAATGCCTTTAAAAGTTGAGTAAGAAGTATTTGTAACTTACAATGAGGTAAGCTTTTTCCAGTTGCCAATGAAGTCAGGTATCTTGCCTGTGAAAGGATTGTCTGATGCATACCTAAAATCCAAAAAGCTCTCTGTTAAAGATAGGGTAAAAGAAGACAATTCTGAGATGCTCCAGAAAGATAACCAGACAAATAAATACAGCTTAAGATCCTAGGGACTTTCTTACATGATTTGCATGTTTACAAGGTTAGCAAACGTTGAGGGAATTTCACCACCAACTCCACAGCTGCTAATGTAACTGCACATTCATAAACCAGAAGTGTTTAGTCTCTGGTGATATGCTTCTTACCGCACAAACTTATTGTATTGAACTACAAAGAACTAGAAGAAAGTTATAACTCACAGTTGTTCAAGTTTGACTAAATTACCAAGTTCTGGTGGGAGTGTTCCGGAGAAATTATTTGAAATAATTGATCTGCATGAAATAATTCAAATAAAATATTTTTATGGAGAAAGAGAAACCATTAAAATTGATATGGGGTTTTATTTGAACCTATCACAGGGATTGCACTTCTTAGTACCAAAATTAAGTGAAAAGATTAAAAATCTTTCAAGAGATTTTTCTGGTCTCTTAAGTCTCAAAAGGAGGAATGTTGTAAGGGTTTCATGTGAAATTTAATCAACGTAAAATGTCCTAAGCTTTCCAGAAGAGTAACAAAGATTCTATCTCAATCAGCGCCATGAATCTTCTAGTGACTTGACTACCATATTGCATCACTACTTTGCATCAGACATAAAAAAATGTGAGTACCTCAGGACCTCTTGGATACCATTTATAGGAAAAGACCCAAATCACTCAAATTATCTACAATCCCTAACATTTCTATCAAAGGTAGTTGAAACTGATACTGATTTTGAATACCTGAAGTTATTTATTTTCCCTTCTGGAATTCATCAATTCAGTGTATATCAGAATTTAGAAGTACAGTTATTATTCTGAGAGATTGTTACATCAACTAGTAAGCACCGACAAATAATTTTACATAATAGAGTTGTGCTGCCTCCCCTTCCTGTTTGACAATCACTCCTCAAACACAAATTCTCTCCAGACTTTCAGATCCTCTCAACATAATATATTGAATTGATTTTTCATTTTATACGAAAGGCACTTTCCTAATGACCCAGGACCAAACTTGTACATAATGTAACTTAGAGGCTACATGTGTGTGGTAGAACAGAACCATTTGATGCATTACAAAGGCAGAAAAAGAAAATAAAAAATAAAAATAAATCAATGCATTATGATGACAAAGGTAGAATTTCTTCAGGTCTTACAGCAGAGTTAGCTCCTTAAGATTTCCAAGCTCCTTGGGAATGGGCCCAGATAATGCATTGTGGGCAAGAGCCCTTGACAAAAAAAACATAACCCAGAAAGTTACTAGTGGCTTCTGAAATAAGTTGGCAAAAATAACACAACAAAGTCAATGAGTTTTACATACGGAATAAGCATGACTAACATAATCAGAAAATAAGTGAGATGGATTGATAGTAATCAGTGTAAATGATGGTTTTTAATGGTGGTAAATGAAACACTGAAGTAAACACAAAGTGCTTCGCTTTGAAGATCTTTAGCACTTCAATGATTTAGCTTCATAATCAAGGGTCAATGGCTCTTTCTTATAAAGTAAGACGTAATTACCAGGTTGATACATGCATTCTAGATGGTAAAGACATTTAATGACTGGAAGCAAAAATCAGAAAAACTATCCATGGAAATTTCAGAAGTTTTGATAAATACTATCTATTAACGTAAAGTAAAATCCTTTCATAAGACCACCAGAATCCATGCTTACAATTTCTGCAATGTAGATAAATTCCCAATCCATGCCGGCAAGGGGCCGGTTAAGTAATTTCGATCCATCCACCTGCATCATCAAACAACGAACAATTCAGTAGTCAGTACTCTTAAACTCTCCAAGAAAAAGATAAAACGTCATTTTCCACTAGCAAAAGAAAAATTAGAAGCCATACAGTATGTTTAAGAATTTGAAAGCCAAAAGCTCCTCCGTTAATACCCTTTGTCTGTTCAGCGCATACACTCTCCTGGGAAGATGAAAAAACAGTTAAGAGTGCAACTTCATAACCGATCAAAAGTTCGAAAAAGAACTGAATGCGTTCGTCGGAGCAGCAAGAAACGGAGAGAGTACAGTCTGGTGATATGGCAGGTAGTAGCATTGTTGAAGGTGCAATCGCATGTGATGGATGGATTGTTGGAGGGATCTAAGAAAACGTCCATATCTTGCCTCAGAGCAGGTCCGGTGCATGGTTCGCCGCTGATATTCCAGGAATCCACCCCCTGTATGTCCCATTGTTGGAAGATTGAGATCAATGCTCTCAC